CACGTGTATGTTAAAAACATCAAAATATTACAATTATAATGCAAATATAAATATTTAAATTTGGATATTCAAATATTTAAGAAATATTTTGGAGTGAGATATTCTTTAAAGTCATGTTCAAGGCCATGTTGGTTAAGTCTTCAGGGATCTTTTGGGAGCAGATGGTAGGTGTTTATCACTTGATGGTCTTGACTGACTGCAATTAAAGTTTGAATTCATTCAAAGAATGAACCAAATCCTCTGTTAATTCAAACCAACCATACAATAAAGACAGGAAGTCTCTGAGGGAAATCACTCACTGCATCAAGATTCACTTCACAGACACACAAACTTCAAGGGCAAAAATTCACACCATGAGACATTAGAAATAGTTTCCTGGAGTATAAAATGTACCCCAAAATGGCATACAGTCGACATGAAATCAAAACTGACCCTATATTTCTTAATACATGTTCCTGGGGTTATTGTGAGCAATTCATTACATTGATTATTAAATAGAAAATATCCATCTTAATAATCTTTTACCAAATTTAAATAACCAGATCTGCCTTTTAAATTTCCCTTTCCAGATGACATCACCAAACCATCTTATTTTTCAACCCCACCACTGCAAACCTGTCGCACGGACCTCGTTTCACAGTCCAGTCAGTTTCTGGTGCATAAAATCAAGTCAAAAGTGGCAGCCTGTATACTTTTCTTAACAAACTACATAAGTCAAACAGACTGCAGATTTTAAAGATCTAGGTTGATAACTGAAAAGTTCATCCGTAAAACCATCACCAGTGCTGTAGGCTTCATTTGAACATTGACAGGCACACGTCCCCCATGTTAAACAGAGGTAGCCCCACACACTCATTTTTGAGAAGTCTAGCTGTTTGATACAATATAGTGATTTGAATGACTCAATTATTGATTTCAGTCATATTCTGCTCATTCATTTCAAACACCTTGCACTTGTCCACTAGTAACACTTCAATGAGGAATAATTACAACAACACAATCTTAATGACTCATGAATTCTCAGAAACCCTGTAGCGCTCAATGCTCGATGTACCAGCATCTCCTACCAAAATCTTTTCAAAGTTGATAAAAAAAAGACAAATGACTGGGTGGACAATACGCTCAGTTCGTTCCATATCATCATTCTGGCCTTGAACGGGAGACTTTACCCCAGTTGCTCCAGTCAGACTGTCCCAGTAAGAAGTGTAGCATTGTTTGCATGGATAAAAGCATCAGCTAAGTCAAAGTTTAGTGAATTAGTAGTCTGAAATATAGAGGAGGAGTTTAGACCATCCCTCATTGTTCATTGGCACTCACCTCAGAGTAGACGTAGAGTGGGAGGACCAGCACAGCCAAAAGAAGGTCGGCCACGGCCAAACTGACGATGAAGTAGTTAGTTGCGGTTTTAAGAGAGCGTTCGGTCAACACACTGAGACACACTAGGACGTTCCCCAAGATGATGATGAGGATGAGAGGCACGCCGCATATCAACGCGAGGTAGTTGTACCTCTCGTGGGCCACCGCTGGGTCTATACTGGGCGTCACATTGACCATGGTGCCCTGAAGTTCAGCTGCCAACCCGGATTCAACATCTGTGAGAGGGAAATATTGACACAGTGAGGGCTGTTTGTAGAGACGAATGGGTCTTTGTGTGTGTGTGTGTATGCTAATACGTGTTTGTGTTCATGCCCATATGTTACTAGGAGAGGAATTATGGCAAGAAGAGGTCGTAAATATGAACAAGCGCCCTCATTTCACAGTCGTTTATATGCAGAGTGCTTGGAAATGCAGTCGTATGTCTTCTTATTTTTAGACAATAACAGACTCTATCTCCATTTGTCATCGAATGCCAACAAAATGTTGTCGTTTTATGCTGTAAATGTGTTCAGATGTTTGTATCTGGTTCGCTTTCATTCTAGTCAAAGCTCTTACCTTGAAACTGTCACGATCAGACAAGATTTTCGGGCTTTGTAGAGTATGTTAACTTCTCTGGTGTCTGAGAGTGTTGTAATCACATTTTGGAAGTTTGTGGGATAAAGTTGACTCTTTACGTCAACAGCAGCCATGTTGAAAGAGTTAGCACTTCGTTCATGCGATCTGATAGAGCTGAAAGAGAAGAGAGGTGATAATTGAATCTTCTCTTTATGCTTTATATAGGCATCATCAGCAATGCGCATGACTTAGCTGTGATAATCAAGTTAAAAAAAGGACGCATATGAGATTGAGTTTGACACCCCTGAATTACCGAAGAGCGGTGATGACTTGAAGTTTTGCCGTCACAAACAAGCTAAAATGTGCCGAAACTGATTTGCAGCTGTCGTTGTACCTCACGGTATGTTGAAAATAAGTTTGTTTTTCACTCTTTAACTGCAGGTTTAATTGCTTGTTTAATAGCTGATGATATAATTGTGGCATTCTGGAATTAGTATTTAAAGAGCCGCAAAGACATAATATAACATGAATTACATTTTTGACTTTATGAAATTGGCTGTCATCATGCAATTTGCCTCGATTTCTTTATTCTACGAGTGACACATTGGCGTATGGGATCAGAGGATGCTCTGCTTCTGTGATAACGGACTGTTTGAAATTCTCCCCTCTCGCAACAACAGGTGAAAGTGGCCATGACAACCTCCAGTGTGTGTGTGTGTGTGTGTGTGTGTGTGTGTGTGTGTGCATGTTTAAAAATAAATGAAGGCCAAAGAATTTTAGCTATTTTTAATAGTGGTGGGTGAGCAGGTGTGTGTGTGGGTGTGTGTCTCACCTGTCCACACTAATTGCACATAGATTCAAAATGGAGGCAGTGCAGAGCATCACGTCCATAGTCATTAGGGCATCACAGATGTACATACTCAGGGTCCACATGCCTCCCAGGAACTATAACACACCCACACACCAAAACAGAGAAAGATAGAATGTGTAAGACAACAGCACACACACACTCATCTATACAATATCTGCCAGGGGCATCAATTCCATATATATATGACCATATTCTACATCCCTAATACCTAAACTTAACAACTACCTTCCTAACTATTAAGAAGCAACAAATTAGGAGTTTATTGAAGCAGAAGTCATAGTTAATAGTTTGTTAATAGCAAGAACTGGACCTTAGAATAAAGTGTGACCAAAAAGACTTTTAAAATATGTAGTATAATTGAAATCTACAGATGCAAATAGATAAAGTGTAATAAACACTTGAACTGTTTTTAATGCTTTCTTTCCACTAGTCTGAAACATGTTATGAAAAGCCCAAAATCTCACAACTGACAAGTACATATTTTTATCAGTGTCTTTCTTTAATTAAATTAAATTTGAAACTGATGTGCTGTTCAGGCTGTGCCAATGTGCCATAAGGTTTTCAGGTTGCATGGATCACATACCCTGCCATTATGAGGGTATTAGCAGAAATCTAAAAATCACTATGTGCTGACTCTATAATCTCCCAAAGTACAAAGGTAAACAGACACAGCGTGCCACTGGCAGTTGTCAGTCTGGTAATCTATCCCCATGCTTCTCGTACCATGCGTTCTGCTTGTAAATGTCATCCCAGGCAGGACATCCCTGGGCAATGGGAACAGCAGGGAAAAGAAGAAAAAGTCATTCACACACCCTGGTGTAAGTCTGTCGGACCGGAACGTTTCATACAAGGCACACGGATAACATAACCAGCCATCTCACCCCTGTCCCAGAACATCCCTTCGGGAGAGCCGTCAAAGCACAAATAGCTTCTGACTGTCTAGTTGACAGAGGACGCCTAGAATAATTTCATTAGAAAGTTTGAAATGCCATTGTCACATTGGCGTCTGCCCTAAAGCAGAAGGACTCGGAAGGTTGCATCTCATTACACTCCACCTTCAAGCATGAACTGTTTGATTTTGCACATATGAGTCTACCGAGGCCAATATGAGACACTTTATTGGGATTAAGTTCATACGGAAAGGTCGTTTCATTACAGGTGGAATGATTTAAGAATTAGTCTCTTTAGCGGAAGTGCCCTTTAGAGGCTTCACGTTCTCTGACCTTCTGAAAACGTTTTTGTTCTGCACTTTTCACAGGTACAGTACATTTTGGTGTCCCTTGACTTTTTGTGAAAGCACTAAAAATGGAAATTCCATGTTTAGAACTATTAGTTATGCTAGATTAAATTCCAGTATAAAAAACTACCTTTTTTTTTTAAACACTTCAAATGTATCTCATATATGTACTGTATATTGACTGTCATAGTAAATGATCAAAATTGTAATGTTTAGCTTTTTTCTACAGTTAATATTTTGGGTAACCCTGTAACCTCTTGATTTTTCCTGTATTACCAAAAATGTATCTGTGACACATGACACGTGGCATGATGGGAAATATAGGAAATATTGTCTTCCTTTTATTCAGTTTGTACAGCTATGCTGACTGCATTCAATGTGTTCAACCATTCAAAACTGTTACCCAAATTATTGTCAAAAAAATAAACTTCTTTAATTTACAGGAAATATAAGGATACTTTAGGTTAAATTTGTAACACTGTTGTTTGCCTTTTTATTTTTAAAATATAACATTATTATTAAATGATTATTATAAAAATTAAAAAATTTAATCATTATTGTTATAAATTGTGATATTTAAGTTAATTTATTTAATGTTAATTGCAAAAAAAAATTATAAAGACATTTTAAAGACGTTTCAGGAGTTTCAGGCCTAATTTTGTACATCTGTGTGGACATACTTAACCATATTTTGGGGACAAATTTGTACCTTGACATGTTTGACAAAAATTGAGCTGACAAAATCTGTCATTACAGGACATTCAATAATGTAAAATCTAAATTTGAGAAAAAAAAATTGAGCTGACAAAATCTGTCATTACAGGACATTCAATAATGTAAAAATTATGTATGAATTCAGTAAATAATATTTGTTTGTTTCCAAAACTGCCAAATGTTTTCTGTCAGAGAAATGTGAGTATGTATTTGTATGACTGCTTTAATATGGCCATGTAAAGGCCACTACATTCATTTCTCTCTCCCTGCTGTTTTGGACCGTCAAACCATTACTGATTTTCCTTTCTCGGTTATGCTCAATTAAAAGTGTCTTTTAGTATTGAGATACTGCTCTCACCTCCAGGAAGGTTCCGTCACCAGCGATGGCAGCCGGCTTTAATTATAGACAGAGAATTTCAGAGCTGCTACGATCCTCCATAATGGGAACAATGAAGAGTGATCAAGGTAATTACTGCCTTTCCTCTTTCTGTATTATAGTAATTTTTTTCTAAGCTAATCAGAGCGCAGCAGTCTTTTTGTAGGTGTTCAAAAACTTTTGCTGTGTCTTTGTGAACATTCTGTCCAATAATAATGTTTGCACAGTATAAGTGCTGCCTTATTAGTGGAGGTTAGTAAAGTGTCTTCTGTTGACTTCTTTTTAAATTGCTGCAGAGAATAAAGAGAGAATCTGATACGCCAGACTGAGGCATCTCACCCGTCAATGAGAGCTGGTCATCTTTTTTATGTCGAGGTTCTGGAAAAAGCTTGACAGAAAGTGTTTTGCACCCTTAAATGGATTGATTGATGAGAAGTCTTGAGAGGCGGCAGGTCAGGTGATGGCCTGTGGCATTTCCTTTGTGTGGCTGAATGTCTTTTTGAAGATTTATGGCCATGAGGCTCTCCAGGAAAACATTGAGGGAGCAAGAGGAGAGATCAATGAGGAGACATTCACAGCAACAATAAAAGCTCCAGAGGGAGGTGAGGCAATGATCTGTGTTAAGGGAGGCGATCACGTATTAAAGTGTGTGTTTTTTGTGTGTATGTGCGAGGGGCATGTGAAAAACAGGATCAGATCACAAGGGAGCAAATAGCTAATACTTTTATGTTTGTGTCTGTCTTTGTAGGGTAAGAAAATAATCTATATTTTACTTGAAAACAAAATTAGAGATTAGTAGTTTTAAGTTTAAGTAGACTATTACGCAATCTGTAATGTATAAAGTGCAGTAAGTGACTTGACTATTAGCTTTGAGCAAAGAGAAAGCTATCTTTTAGCATTAGCAATTACTTCAACGGTACTTGCTCAACAGCCAAACGTCAATTCTTTAGCCAATCACCTGAACCGTAAATGTCATGTGACTAATCAATCATGATTCACAAGAAACATCCTGACAAATGTTTTGCCCCCATGAAGCAAAATTCAGTCATTCCAATAGGAATTTACACTATGGCATTTTTGCGCAAGGGCGAAACCAAGTTGGTCATGCAAATTCGCTGCGTTGACCAAAAGCAAATGTTTACTTTATTAACGGTTTAGCATTGAGGACATCTATATGCTAGCCAGTGTAGTCCTAAAAGTTGATCAAATTAACCGTTAGGTGGTATAGCAGCATTAGCATTAGCATGTAGCATGTGAAGTCTTTCTCTTCCAGGACCAAAACATAGATGTTTCATCTAGCACTAAACAAATTTTGTGCAGTCAAATCCTGTTGCTAGCAATAGCAAATAGCAAAACATTGGATTCATTGTTATGTATTCAGCTGCGCTGAGGAGCCATTCAGACAGAACGCGTTTTGCTTTTTGCCCAAAAGTCGTGGGCAGTGGGATGGGGGAAAAACAGTCTCAAGACATGTTTTTTTTTTTTTTGGATTGCGTGTCATGTTTTTAGAAAGCCATGTCTTGCATGTCAAGACACTGCAAGAAACGCAAATGCAATAGTCAAATATGTACGTTTACATATAAAAACAATGGAAAAGTAGTGCAATGGAAACCAATGCTAATACTTTATTGTATTTTCCAATAACCAATTTATATGTATATATATATGATAAGTATAGCTTTTTATTTCTCCTCTTTCCTATTACTTGTTTCACTTCTGTTTCAGTATTAAGTTTTAGTTTTATTTAATTTGAGTTAATTTAATAATTCAACTAACTAAATGGAAATGAAATTTATATAGATTTATAAATGTGTATGTATGTATATATATATATATATACTGTATATATATATATATATTAATTTGAGTTAATTTAATAATTCAACAAACTAAATGGAAATGAAATTTATATAGATTTATAAATGTGTATGTATGTATATATATATATATATATACTGTATATATATATATATATATTTTGAATTGTTTTTAGCTTTATTTTTTGTTTTTCATTTAGATGTTCAAGTTTTGAAATTTTGTTGTATGCATTTGTCTTTTTTATTTCATTTCTTTATTTTTAAAATGTGTATAAGAAGTATTTATCAAGTTTTAGCTTTTAGTTTTGGATCTGTTTTTAGTTGTTTTAATATTACAATTGATTGCTTCTGTTGTCCTCATTTGTAAGTCGCTTTGGATAAAAGCCTCTAATAAATGACTAAATAAATAATCGTTTAATCACCACCACAGCGTCTTGTCTCCATTGGCAACACGCACCATTTGTATCGATTGCAAGTGACGTCGCAGGTATCGGAGAGTGCAAGTGACTTCGTAATTTAGTTTCTTTTTTCTTGTCTTCACCACCTGGCTACTGTTGTAAAATGTTGAGTTATTATACACTTATACCTTTTGTTCTTTAACATTTTGAATTGTTTTTAGCTTTATTTTTTGTTTTTCATTTAGATGTTCAAGTTTTGAAATTTTGTTGTATGCATTTGTCTTTTTTATTTCATTTCTTTATTTTTAAAATGTGTATAAGAAGTATTTATAAAGTTTTAGCTTTTAGTTTTGGATCTGTTTTTAGTTGTTTTAATACTACAATTGATTGCTTCTGTTGTCCTCATTTGTAAGTCACTTTGGTTAAAAGCGTCTGCTAAATGACTAAAATAAATATGTGCGTCTATAACTTATCACAGATTGACATATTTTACATGTACACAATGTGTCGAGTGGTATCT